TTGCTATTTCTTCCAGTTGGCCGGTTATCAATTTCACGCATACCGCGCCGAACGCAAGTATTACCGACCTTCTTCTAATAAAAGGTCAGGTCGGGGTTTAGCTTTTGTTTGATTTTCAGGCACGTGGGATTATGACAGCAATGGGATTAATTTACTTTGTCAATGTATTAAAGGAAGAAACAACTACACGGAATACATCAAATTATACGAGGGGCCATTCTGTCGTGTTGTCTTACACAATCAGCCTTTGTTTTGTCAAATCTAAGGTTATAGGTGTCTAATTCTAGGAACTGCTATTAAATTTCTTTTCTTGGGGTCATATACATGTACGTGTATATGTTGAATAAAGTACTTGTGTACACACTGACAATACTTTGTATAAGAGAAGATTAAGTTTAGATAATATTTTATATCACATAGTGAGATTCGATACTGTGATTATTGGCATTATTATCATATCAGTGACGATAATTATGCCCAGTTATCATACTGATAAAATTGATAAAGAAATTATCATAATTATATAATTCATAGAAAAATCAAATGACTCCTTTTCTGATTAATTATTTGCATTATAATATACACAGCAAAGCAATTTCCATTTACTTTTTATCAACGTGTTTTTTGTACGTTAAGACTTCAGAACAAAACTGCTAACAGCTGCATCGAGGAAACTGCATGTTTTAATGAGTCGTTTCTGTTGATAATCATAGTCACGTGGTTTTCAGTTTAACGTTTAGGCTGTACATTGATTTCTGTATTAAAGAAAGACCTGTTAAACTCGTACAGAATATTCTAAGCGAGAGTTTAACAGGGCATTGCGTGTGATGAAACAGCGCGCTTTCTTAAAAGAACGCGTGTTATGCTCAATTCTTTTTTTTTAAGTAGGAGAAAAATAGAATGACTCTTTGAAGCTGTCTTTATCTGGCTCCCTGCGTCGTGATGAGACCCAGAATATTTTATTTCCGGTTTGCACAGCGTTAACAATCTGGCTTATTTGCGCTGACATGCGTCTCTGTTTCGAGTGACAGCTATCCAATGCATGGTTTTGAATTTCATACACCATGGAGCAAACAGTAGCCTGCCTATTTTACTGAAGAGCAGCTTCCACACAAAAAGTAGTACCCTCCATCGATCAGAATCCATTCGCTCTATCCTTGTGTATACATGTGTGCCAATTAAACATTTCGCAGACTAAATTATAACGTGCTCCCTATAATTTGGTTTGTCCAATAAAAAGAATGTTTGAACTATCCCTCTTAGTTCCAATCAAGTAAATATTTTAACTATCCTTCTTAATAATGTCATGACCGAGCAAAAAAATAAACATTTTTTTTTCATTAAAACTCAAAGAAAGCTAATAACAAGTTTTCTCTTTTGTTGAGAGAAGAAGAAGAAAAACATTAATGCCCTAAAAACCTTTGTACTGGATGTGATTACGTCAAGAGAAAGAGGCGTAAAATAGTTTCAGTAGTGCTAAAAAAAATACCCTAGTCAAGTGATAAATGATTTTATGTTTCATTATCTATTTTTGCACCATGTTCTCTGTAATATATGTTATACATTGTATAATTTTTTGCATCAGAGGACGACAGCGATAATTATTATTTATTATTCGTTCGTGGTTATATCTCGCGTTGATGAACGAGATGTAAATGAGCTACCAAGAGACAGATTTAGTTTCTTAAATATTTATGAGATTGTATAATCTGGAAATTTTATTTCGTATACAGACAGTCATAATATCTCACGTATTTAGTTTAAAATGCTACAAATAACCATGGAGCCTGTTATTTATTTAAACGCCTAAACGGAGACATGGGGCTTTAATTACTGCAGGATTCCCATTAGGCCAAATACTTACTGTAATTATTCATATAATATGGCAAATATAATTAAGGAAAACCAAATTTGTTTTAACAGCTAACGAGTACAGCTTTCTCGGCATCGTTGCCATATTAGCATGACAATCGTAACTTTCCGGGCCATTTCCGTTATGCTTCGGTATAAGGACTGATTTTGCGTAATGGGCAAGGCGTTCCGAATTTGGGGCCAATGTCGTCATCAAGATCAAATCCTGGTTGATTACCAGGCTTTGAAAAGCAGATCTAACAGAGTTCACCTCTTCTCTTTATTTTTAAATACATTCACTCAGTCACTTAGTTCGTGATGTTTTATTCTCGGTCTTTTAAAAATGTGATACTTAAGCATAGTTTTAAGATCTTCAAACCGTCATTTTTGCATTATCTACAACCGTATATCATTCCACTGATCTCTATATGTATTTACAACATGTCTTATGTTTTGTTGCATACCTTTTCTATGTTTTTTTTTCTTTCGCGACACAAATTTTTTCAGGTATATCAGTGTCGTCTAAACGCTTAGTAGTTAACTTAAAGACGCGCATTAGCCTTTAACCTAGTACGGAAGTTAGTCATTTGTGTAGCTGAATAATTTGAACAAATAAAATACAGCTGTCGGTAACTAAGAGAGCTTTATGGCAACTCGAGCGTATTTTTATCGCATTTCACCAGCGCTATTCTCCGCTTTCTCAACCACCCTCTGGGCTATATTGTAATTATGATATAAACAAGCCATTTCTCTTCGTCTCTGTACAAAACCAACGACTTTCCTTTGATAGCATTTCATGGTGACATAGACATTACAGTGATAAACTTTAATACGTCTCTCTTATCGAAGTAGAATATATTCCCCTCTCCGGGCTGTTTATTGAGCAAATAGAATCAATAATTGTTCAACCGCTTAAAAACAGATATAATAAAATCTCCGCGTTCGGTAATGTAGCAAATTTTCTCTAGCAATGGCGATGGTATTTAATTGTGCGCATAAAAAGACCATAAAAAGGGGTTTATGCGCGTTAATTGAGCTGACAGCCGTCATATCCGAGAATGAGACTCGGGATCAATTAATAACTAACTATGAAATGGGTTGTCAATTTTAATACTTTCTTGATATTGAAATGGAGATGTAACATGATTTGAGCCGCGTCATGACAAAACCAACATAATGCGTTTGCGACCAGCATGGATCCAGACCAGCCTGTGCATCCGCGCAGTCTGATCAGGATCCATGCTGTTCGCTATCAGTTTCACTACTTGTAATAGAATTGGTAAGCGAACAGCATGGATCCTGATCAGACTGCGCGGATGCGCAGGCTGGTCTGGATCCATGCTAGTCGCAAACCCATTATGTTGGTTTTGTCGTGACACGGCTCATTTCTTGTTCATTTCAAGCTTGTCCCTTGTGTTATACATGTACAGACAAACCAGTGCCGACGAGGAGTCCGAAAATGGCCTTTTTTTATACAATAGGCCTTAATTTGAAGGTTTATCTATACTTTTTAATCTATAGAGGGCTGTCAAAGAGTGGAATTTTTTACAGAATGGTTCTTGTTGGGAGGTGGTATTTAAACACAGGTTTACACCTGTATATGTTAAGTCTGATTGAGTGCACTATGGGTTATAAATGTATGTGAAGGAAGAGTGGGACAGGGTTAAGCTAGAGTACTTCTAATCTTGGGAGGTCTTATTTTCGAATTCCACCGGAAGTGGGGGTTATTTCGGCGTTCTTAATCCACACTGGTGGGATTAAGCATTTAACTTTTTTTTTGTTGAACAACATTCAACAGTTGATAAAACAATTGATCCTAACTTATAAAGACGAAATAAACAGAAAACCAACAAAAAGAGATAAATATGCCTACATGTATCTCACCGATTCAGCCGTTTAAATGATAGCACTTATATCTTACTATTCATCCTCTCTCTAAATGATAGCACTTATATCTAACTACTCATCCTCTCTCTAAATGATAGCACTTATATCTAACTACTCATCCTCTATCTAAATGATAGCACTTATATCTAACTACTCATCCTCTCTCTAAATGATAGCACTTATATCTAACTACTCATCCTCTCTCTAAATGATAGCACTTATATCTAACTACTCATCCTCTCTCTAAATGAAAGCACTTATATCTAACTACTCACCCCCTCTCTTCCCGTCGGTACATGTATGCACGTCGTTGGTGGAATCTTTAGCTCGGGGTTACATTTAAGGCGGCACAACTTAGTTTACATAAAGTTTTCTGTCGATGTCCTGACTGAAGCCGATGAGAGTGGCCCTAAAATGGGACCATGATGACGAAGAAGTTGTGTCAGGGTGCGTGAGCTTGAAAGGCTTTTTGCTGGCTACTGTACATTTAGATTCTCATTGGACGCCGTACAGTGTTCTATTTTTTGGCTAAAAATTCATGAACATGAAGAATATAATGTAGTATTATTTTATATTTCCATTGTGACTTATAAGTCATAATTTATAAATGTGTGTACTATTTAGATCTACATGAATATGTATAATTATGGAGTATTTAACCTTTTGTGCAACAAATATCAAATGCATTTTTTCTTGTTCTGTTCTATGAGAGAATTAGTGTTTTTACTGTTCTGTTATTGTTTTACGTTTCTTCTTCTTTCATTTTTAAATTACACAATCCTTGACTATGCAAATTGACGGTGGAGAAAATAATTTACAGAGTTAGCTACTGTAATATTATGGTGTACATGTAAATAAGAAATTTCCGCTCAGTCGATTATATCAGTTAATAATAACTGGATGACAAAGGTAACTTCTATTCACATGTTCTCGTGTATCGCATTATTGTAAAGTTATATACAAGATAACAAAGATTATCAACAATTTTTCTAATGCGGTTTTAAAACATATTATTTGTTATGATAAAGTTTTTATAATGTTTGAGCATATTTGTGGCCACCTACGTACGTGGCTAAATTAAATGGTAATTTATATTGTTCACGTTATCAATTATTTACTTCGTCTATGAAAGGCTGCTATCCATGCATGATATTGGTAAAATCCGAGCGCACGCTAGAGAAGTTATACGGTATATTTGCCCAAACTGTAGCTCGAGTAAAACGAGCATTTTGATTGGCTCAGCAGCGATTCGCCCTTGGCAATCATTGGTCACAAGTAGTTCTCTGTGAAAATTGACCTGTTCGTCTTGTGAAAAGTCGAACAAAGAAAGCGAGGATTGTGTGCAGTTTTCGTGCAAGGAAACTACATAATGGACACAGTTATTGTTTATGCAAGAGACATACTAACAGGATTTTAATCGTGAGTTTTTTTTGTTCTTTTAATCATTGTGCAAAATCGGTAGTAAACGTGGGAACGTTTGCGTGTTAACAGCACGACGTGAGGAATGTAATATGGTGGGATATATATATATTTTACATTTCTTACAGTAATCTTAAATGAGTCTACACGTTATGTGTTAAAAGTTTGCTGTTTATAAGTGGTTATTAGAAAAAAATGGGGAAATTATATGTGTTGATTTATTTTATGTAAAATTGCTATTGGATTTGATGTTTTTATCATGCATAATTACGATTTAATTGGATTTTAATTAGATTTTTTTTACTCCCAAGTCCGTATTATTTTATTATCAGATTATATCCAAGAAGAACAAGATTCGCTAATCTTTTAGATGAAATTATTTTGAAATGTTTCAGTGAGCAGAACAAAGCCTCTCTAGGGTTAGTGTAACTAGACGAGGGATTATATTGATCAAAGTGGTTACGGATTTGTATTGACTTATGATAAGAAATCATTTGATACCGGCAAATTTCCGTTTTAATAAGGAAATTTGCTTCGTTCAAGCACCGAATATTTTACATAATCATGAGTTCATTTGAACATCATGCTACTGTAGACAAAGGTTTAAAAATGAAAATAAAGCGTAAGAACTTGGGTTCGGACAAAACTGAAAAATCTAAAAAGGAACAAAATAAATCGGAAACTTTGAAAAGTGATTCAAAACAACAAGGTGAGAGCTCTCAGAGCACAAATGGAATGCTAACAGATAAATCTAGTAAATTATCTTTGTACAGTGATAAAGACAAGTCTCCGAAATCCAAGTCGACATTAGGAAAAAAGGATAAAGGAAAGGACTTGGTCAAAGGTGAAACTGCTGGGGCCACAAACAATTCTAGTGTAAATGGTGTAGAGAATCTGTTTAACCAGTCAAGTTCAATGGAGCCGAAATTGGGTGAAACGGCTACAGGGAAAAAGGAATGTATTCCGGACCCATACGAGTTTAACGCCAAGGTCGAGGACGGTATCTCCATGCCAATGAAGAAAATGAAAATAGAAAAAGAAAAGGTCAGTATTTTTTTACATCTTTATATATTAACTAAGTTTAAATTGATACAGTTCAGGATTAAGTGCAAAACATTTGTCTATTTATTGTGTATTTACCCTATTTTCTTTGTTCAATTTTAAATATATCAAAATGAATGCCAGTATTGGTTTTAAAAAAAAACTGTATTTAATTACAAGTTACAATGATTTATGACATTAACAGAGATCCATCTTCTTTAATACAGGAATATAGATTTATAATATAACTCTGTCTAGGTATTGGGATTTTATTGGATTTATATATATCTAAATAACAGTTTCTCTTAATTTATTGCTTTCTCTTCATGAATTACTCAAGTAAAAAAAAGAAAAGGAAATGAAAGGGGATAAATATGCAAAATCATGATTTTTGTATCTGACACATTAGATGTTGATCACACAGCTTTCATTTGGTAAGAATAGCTGAATGGTATTTCATTTTGATACTACCTGGCATGTTGCCAGCCTAATTTATTATCCATTATCAAATTTATGACAACTATGTTATAGCTAGGGCAGACTTGTTACAGATGAGATATATATATATATATACATACGAAAATATCTCTAAATATCTCTCCTTTACTCACTTATCCGAGGTGTACATAAATGCTCAAATGGTTTAATTAACAGGTACAAATGTTGTGCAAATTGACTGTTATAGTAAATCTGCCTAACAAAAGGCCTCTGGGCAACAAATACAGTGACTAAGTACAGACACCTTAATGATTATGAATTTTTTTTTTATATTATCCTCAAAAAGGGAGATTCTCTGGTTATTTTGAGTATCTTGATTAAAATTTTAAAAAAAGTAGAAAAGTAAGATTCAAGATTTAAAAAGGGTGGTTTAAATGTTTATATATAAATATACTGAAGAATATTATATTACAATTTGTTAGCTTTACCTGAAAAAAAATATTTGTAGAAGAATTAAGTTATATTGAATTGATATGAAAAGGCACTTGTTATTGGAAATCGATTGACAGGTTTTTAACCCTTTCCCCCATGAGCATATTGTGAAAAATGGCCATTTTCACTGAAAAGCCTCCTCTCACAAGTTCAAACTGCTATGAAACTATGAAAAATGCTTCAATACTAATCAAACTTGACACAAATGTTGACTGGACCATTGCCTTTGTAACGACATGCTCAGTCTTAAATTTCCTGTTACCATGGCAACGAGGGGACATCTCAAAATTGCCAAAAATCACTTTTTTGCCTCGATTTTTTCCATCAAAATTTATTTCAAAGTGCTGCAACTTCTCAAGGGATTGAGATAGAGTCAAAGGCTTTTCAGCGTTGGTTACACGTTATCTTATGATCGACCTGGGGTCATTTTAAGCCTCTCACAAGTCCAAAATTTTCTTGGCGATGAGGGGGACTCCGCCCCCCTTCAAACCCCCCAAACAGAAGGGGGCACATCCCCCTTCTGGCAACCCCCTGATGTAATATTTGGATGGGGGACGGCGCCGAAAAAATGGTCAATTTTTTTAAACAACATTTCTCAAACGAAAAACAGTGTTTGGGGCCTAAATAGGGCATTTTTTCACTGTCTGAGGCCTCAAAAAGGGGGGGGGGGCAAAAAGCCGTCGAAACACGCTTATATAAGGGAAAAGGTTAACAAAAAATGATGATAACCTTGGAACCACCCAAAATCTAGTTTTTCCATGTTAACATTTGGTCTTTTACCTAATTTTGGTGAAAAATTGTTGTTTTGTAACATTTATAATTTTTTTAGTTAACCCTTTCCCCCATGAGCATATTGTGAAAAATGGCCATTTTCACTGAAAAGCCTCCTCTCACAAGTTCAAACTGCTATGAAACTATGAAAAATGCTTCAATACTAATCAAACTTGGCACAAATGTTGACTGGACCATTGCCTTTGTAACAACATGCTCAGTCTTAAATTTCCTGTTACCATGGCAACGAGGGGACATCTCAAAATTGCCAAAAATCACTTTTTTGCCTCGATTTTTTCCATCAAAATTTATTTCAAAGTGCTGCAACTTCTCAAAGGATTGAGATAGAGTCAAAGGCTTTTCAGCGTTGGTTACACTTTACCTTATGATCGACCTGGGGTCATTTTAAGCCTCTCACAAGTCCAAAATTTTCTTGGCGATGAGGGGGACACCGCCCCCCTTCATACCCCCAAACAGAAGGGGGCACATCCCCCTTCTGAAAACCCCCTGATGTGATATTTGGATTGGGGACGGCGCCGAAAAAGTGGTCAATTTTTTTAACAACATTTCTCAAACGAAAAACAGTGTTTGGGGCCTAAATAGGGTATTTTTTCACTGTTTGAGGCTTCAAAAAGGGGGGGGGTCAAAACACGCTTATATAAGGGAAAAGGCTAACAAAAAATGATGAAAAACCTTGGAATTACCCAAAATCTAGTTTTTCCATGTAAACTTCAAATCTAGTTTTTCCATGTAAACTTCACCTAATTTTAGTGATAAATTGTTGTTTTGTAACATTTTATAATTTTTTTGGTTAACCCTTTCCCTCATATTGTGAAAAATGGCCGTTTTCATTGAAAAGCCTCGTGTTACAAGTTCAAACTGCTATATAACTATGAAAAATGCTTCAATACTAATCAAACTTGGCACAAATGTTGACTGGACCATTGCCTTTGTAACGACATGCTCAGTCTTAAATTTCCTGTTACCATGGCAACGAGGGGACATCTCAAAATTGCCAAAAATCACTTTTTTGCCTCGATTTTTTCCATCAAAATTTATTTCAAAGTGCTGCAACTTCTCAAGGGATTGAGATAGAGTCAAAGGCTTTTCAGCGTTGGTTACACGTTATCTTATGATCGACCTGGGGTCATTTAAAGCCTCTCACAAGTCCAAAATTTTCTTGGCGATGAGGGGGACTCCGCCCCCCTTCAAACCCCCCAAACAGAAGGGGGCACATCCCCCTTCTGGCAACCCCCTGATGTAATATTTGGATGGGGGACGGCGCCGAAAAAATGGTCAATTTTTTTAACAACATTTCTCAAACGAAAAACAGTGTTTGGGGCCTAAATAGGGCATTTTTTCACTGTTTGAGGCCTCAAAAAGGGGGGGGGGCAAAAAGCCGTCGAAACACGCTTATATAAGGGAAAAGGTTAACAAAAAATGATGAAAAACCTTGGAACCACCCAAAATCTAGTTTTTCCATGTTAACATTTGGTCTTTTACCTAATTTTGGTGAAAAATCATTGTTTTGTAACATTTATAATTTTTTTAGTTAACCCTTTCCCCCATGAGCATATTGTGAAAAATGGCCATTTTCACTGAAAAGCCTCCTCTCACAAGTTCAAACTGCTATGAAACTATGAAAAATGCTTCAATACTAATCAAACTTGGCACAAATGTTGACTGGACCATTGCCTTTGTAACGACATGCTCAGTCTTAAATTTCCTGTTACCATGGCAACGAGGGGACATCTCAAAATTGCCAAAAATCACTTTTTTGCCTCGAATTTTTCCATCAAAATTTATTTCAAAGTGCTGCAACTTCTCAAGGGATTGAGATAGAGTCAAAGGCTTTTCAGCGTTGGTTACACGTTACCTTATGATCGACCTGGGGTCATTTTAAGCCTCTCACAAGTCCAAAATTTTCTTGGCGATGAGGGGGACTCCGTCCCCCTTCAAACCCCCCAAACAGAAGGGGGCACATCCCCCTTCTGGCAACCCCCTGATGTAATATTTGGATGGGGGACGGCGCCGAAAAAATGGTCAATTTTTTAAACAACATCTTTCAAACGAAAAACAGTGTTTGGGGCCTAAATAGGGCATTTTTTCACTGTTTGAGGCCTCAAAAGGGGGGGGGGGCAAAAAGCCGTCGAAACACGCTTATATAAGGGAAAAGGTTAACAAAAAATGATGAAAAACCTTGGAACCACCCAAAATCTAGTTTTTCCATGTTAACATTTGGTCTTTTACCTAATTTTGGTGAAAAATTGTTGTTTTGTAACATTTATAATTTTTTTAGTTAACCCTTTCCCCCATGAGCATATTGTGAAAAATGGCCATTTTCACTGAAAAGCCTCCTCTCACAAGTTCAAACTGCTATGAAACTATGAAAAATGCTTCAATACTAATCAAACTTGGCACAAATGTTGACTGGACCATTGCCTTTGTAACGACATGCTCAGTCTTAAATTTCCTGTTACCATGGCAACGAGGGGACATCTCAAAATTGCCAAAAATCACTTTTTTGCCTCGAATTTTTCCATCAAAATTTATTTCAAAGTGCTGCAACTTCTCAAGGGATTGAGATAGAGTCAAAGGCTTTTCAGCGTTGGTTACACGTTACCTTATGATCGACCTGGGGTCATTTTAAGCCTCTCACAAGTCCAAAATTTTCTTGGCGATGAGGGGGACTCCGCCCCCCTTCAAACCCCCCAAACAGAAGGGGGCACATCCCCCTTCTGGCAACCCCCTGATGTAATATTTGGATGGGGGACGGCGCCGAAAAAATGGTCAATTTTTTTAAACAACATTTCTCAAACGAAAAACAGTGTTTGGGGCCTAAATAGGGCATTTTTTCACTGTTTGAGGCCTCAAAAAGGGGGGGGGGGCAAAAAGCCGTCGAAACACGCTTATATAAGGGAAAAGGTTAACAAAAAATGATGAAAAACCTTGGAACCACCCAAAATCTAGTTTTTCCATGTTAACATTTGGTCTTTTACCTAATTTTGGTGAAAAATCATTGTTTTGTAACATTTATAATTTTTTTAGTTAACCCTTTCCCCCATGAGCATATTGTGAAAAATGGCCATTTTCACTGAAAAGCCTCCTCTCACAAGTTCAAACTGCTATGAAACTATGAAAAATGCTTCAATACTAATCAAACTTGACACAAATGTTGACTGGACCATTGCCTTTGTAACAACATGCTCAGTCTTAAATTTCCTGTTACCATGGCAACGAGGGGACATCTCAAAATTGCCAAAAATCACTTTTTTGCCTCGATTTTTTCCATCAAAATTTAT